CAGCACCCCAGAGTTCACTCTTGAGTGCGGTGCCAACGGTAAAGTTAAAAAATTATTTAAAAATACTTAGAGGCCGGACTTAGAGACGTCTATTGCTATTTGAGTGAATCAGTGATGAAGAACAAACGACAAGCATCGCTGACATACCGAAATAGGAGAGGATTACTTCTTAGTAAGGTACTCACGTTACGTCCCGACAATCGCGCATCGCTATTTTCGGCACTGCCGATACTTGTTTCCGCGCGACAAGACTCATTTTCGGCAAACGAAGGACGATGAAGCGCGGAGCAGCGGTGTCGATCGATGTGTTTATGGCGGTTACTCGGCGCGAAAAGATCGATATTCATGATGGCCACGTAATTGATAACGTATGTCGATAGTTGGCGCCATGACGAGAGCGGTGTCGCGGCCCGACAATGTTCGCGCTTTATAAAATATAGCCCTCTTTCTCTCGCTAACGAACTAACGCCATTAACGCCCAAAATCAACGTCGCGAGTATCCCTGGCGTCATTTTATCTATCTCTCCTTTTCGTTATCATCGAATTTCTAACTCCCGATGGATAAATCTGTCCAACTCTATTACTATTTTAGCGAATTAATGGTAAGAAACACCGACTCGACACATCGCGACAAGCACCGCAAATATATATCGAAACACGAGAAGATTACTTCTGAAGGTACTCACGATATATTCCGACAATCGCACATCGCTACTTTCGGCATTCCCAACGCTTATTTCCGCGCAACGAGACTCACTTTCGGCGAAGGACGATGCGCGGAGCGATGTCGATCGATGTGTCGATGGCAGTTGCTCGGCGTGGAAAGAACGAAGATGCGGGAGCAATCGATCGCGGCATATTCGACGTGAACGTTGTCGCGCTCTACAACGACGCCCTCTGCTCGTTCTGCGGATGTCTCAATAGATCGATCTATCGATAGATCGATCTGTCAGTAGAGATCGACAATTACTAAGCTTTCGACCATTCGTTTATTGACATGAACTCCTCATGATTGTTAGTTAACCAAAAAGTCCTAACTGCCGTCACGACAAGACGTGTTTGAAGAAGTTCGGACTTTGTGATTTTTTGGAATTTTCCAAGACTTTACTCTCGAAATATATCATAAATCGGAATAATGGCGCTGGGGCATAACTCTTAGAGAGGCCTGGAGCCAAATATTGAAGCTAAAGTTGAAGTTGTTAGTTAAGAATGCGTCCAAAGCGACATTTTGGCAGAGTGACATCTCGTCAATGAAGAGAATTATCCGCTTGTAAGGTCCGCAGTTACACCAGGTAATAATTAATTCCTCATGTATATTAACGTCTCGTATCCCTCTCGAAATTGTCACACTCTTTTTCGTTGACTGCGCGTTACATGCAAGTAACGTATCCTCTTTGCTGACATGTACCAAATATAAGATGTCACTTTTCACTGATCCTCGACGAGATTTGATTTGTCTAATTTTTCGCGAATGTGCTGGCAAAGCTGCACGAATCGATCGCTCGCTCGATTCTTGCGGCTTCGTGAATGATAAAACAGGTCGTTACGAGGTGAATTAAGATGAAAAGCCAATAATTCGAACACATTGCAGCCCGTCGGTGACGTTCATTTGGAAACGGCGCGCGTCGATTATGCGTGTTGGATTTATGGGAACACTCTCGACCCGCGACACCTCGTGGCCACAGTTGAAAAAGCCGCACGTACGATTAGGCCGGCGATGAATCACGGCCGTCTCCAAAATTCGAGTCTGATTTATGGATAATTTTGCTCGTATTTTTCTCTCTCACAATGCGCCGTCCGTCTCGCTCCGTATTTCATAAGCCCGACGCAAAATGTATTCCGCCGTGCAATTCCATGCGAAATGAGATATTACCTTTAATACGGGGCACGGTACTGTAAACAGCTTGAACTTGAGATTGTCGAGATATATTTGCAACGCCGCGGCGCGTGATCCTCCCTCGCACCTCGTAATTTTTCGACGGTACGTTAAATGAATTTCGCGAGAGCGCACGCGCAATACAGATTGCGTTATCATTTCTACATTTGTTATCGGACAATTGAAAATATCGAATCATCGGGGATTTAACCTCTTTTTCCTTCCAATCTCACATGATTCAGCAATTAACTAGAAATCGTGCAAACGGCTCAATTGCGCGTCCCTCGAGTTCAGAACGCACGAGTTAGGATGTGTCCCAGAGGAATATGCAAAAATAATCATAAACCACGAAATCGTAACAAATGTCATGTAGTGGTGAAAATTTTATTCTCTTCAATCTACCCAAAGAATCAGAAAATTTTCACACAAACTCCAAAATGTAAGGAAGCTATAAAAGAAGATGGTTTTTATTGTTTTATTTATCCACACTAAGAGAAAAAATATTTAAAAGATAAGAAATATTTATTCGACTAATAATATATTTATTTCCATCACCATAAAACATTGTTCAAATATGAAAATATATAAATATTTTCTTTAAACTTTAGTTTTTCATGAAAACAATAGATTTAAATAAATATGTTATTAGCATTCACACACACCCCAAAAAAATATCTTTTATTTTTTAGATATTTTTTCTCTTAGTGCATTTATAATTCCTCTGTTAATCTTTATTTAATATTTATTTATCGCAAGTAAGTTACGTAATGAATATATTACTTATTGAAATTGAGAATTACGAAAGATTCAATTCAGGTAGATTGAGAAAAAAATGTTTGCTATTTGTAACTATAGTTACATAGAGAAATAATTACTATAAATTATGATATCAAAACTATTTTTTAATTAAATTCTACTATAATGTTAATGATAATGATCTTATATGCATATTACTACTACACGTTTTTGTAATAAAACAAACAAAAAATATAGCCAAAAATAACTAATTTTTTTGCTTTCTATGTGGATTATTGAGAAAGATAAGGACAAACATTACATACACTTCAATTTTAACGGGATTCGCAGAATTAATGAATGTCCAAATAAAATTTGGGCATTTTTCCAACTACGTCATATCTACCGAACGCCCAACATGGTGAAAGCACAGTAGACATTAAAAGAACACATTACTCATAATATCAGATTGTGTAATAACGGCCCGAGGGGAGTGAGAGATCGCGTTCGCGCAGAATACTCTCTCGGAGAGCAAAACTCGTGATAGCAGCCCGAAATCAAAACGAGACATTTCACAGCGGGGCGGTTACGCGCTCCCAAAAACAATACGGCCGCGTATACGAGAGAAAGGAGAAAGTTTCGCCGCGGTGGTGCGCGACTCGGCAAGACTTATTAGGGAAATCAAAGGCCTGTACCGCTAGCCATGAATGCAAATCGGCAACGGCCGTCGGAATAAGTATCGAATCGACTACTCACCGGCGCAACTGTATCCATTTTTATGAAGTATGTAGCCGTCTCTGCAGTCGCACTCGTACATGCCGTCGTGGAGCTCGTAGCAGAGCTGCTCGCACGGCGAGCCATGCCCGCATCTTCCTGAAACACGACGAAGAAACGGGAATGTGAGTAAGTTGTGCGTGGGAGTTTGGAGTGATGCGAACGTGACAAAGGGAGAAACAACGGGACGGAACACAGCTCTCGCGCGGCGAGAGAGAGTTGTAAACACGCGGCTCTCTACATACTTTTTCCCCCGCCTTACCTCGCTTAATAACGTGTTTACACTTGGGCTGTTTCGTAAGAGCTGCTTGCGCAAAAATTTCGATCTGCATGTTTACACCACGCGTCACAGCGGCAAGCGTGCAGAGTTCGTCTGTCTGGTTGGCGCGTGCAAACGGTGCACACCCTCGCGTCAAACGAAATGCTGGACGCGAGCAAATCTTCTATTTAATTAATGAAATCTTCTATTTATTTAATTTAGCACAAAAGTAATTAATGAGATTTAATTAATAATAGCGCATGCGACACAGGAAGCGCCAAATATTTATTCTTTCGTATCAATTCCACGACAATACTGCGGTATGTCGAGTTGATTAATAATTCAATTTTCATGATTACCGTTCGTTCGCTTTCGACGGTTTGTTGTTTGGTAATCCCCCCCCCCCCCC